CTCCTGTTTATCTAAAAACTGATTCTGAAAACCCTAGAACAAATCGATATCAGCGACCCTTCATCGTCTTCTTCATAGATCGGGAGAGGGAAGAATCGAGCAATCAAGCATCGAACAGAGGTGGTCTTGGTGGTGGTATTGGGATCTTCCGTCGGGATTGTTCGGGAAATCTGCTTCAAGCCCGGTATGAAGATGAGTTCAATTCCAATCCCCCCTCGTTTGTGTAAATGACTGAATTTTCCAAAACCCTAGAATTTTACAACCAAGGCCATCTTCTCTTTGTTGATCTGCTCACTGTTTCGACCTGCCATCTCTCTCGCTCGGCTCTTTGATCTGCCCTCTCGCTCTCCTCCTCATAGCATCAGGTAAACAACACCTCCTTTCTGTAGCTCCTCCTTTCGTAAACTGTCTGTTCGGACACTCTAGATTGTATTTTTGGAGCCATGGAATTATTCGGGGTTAATCTGGTAATTATTTGTTGGTGATGGTGAGTTGGCGTCTTTAAGTCTTGCCCACACTCGTCATTTTCACTCACAAAACACACTACTCAATTACAGAGCTAGAAGACAAGTACAGATAAAAACACACATTCTGTATCAAGTGATGAGGGTACTATTCATGTTTTCAGCATCACATCTGTCGATAATCCAGTCCACATTACCAGTTCATCTCGTGCTCTCATTAAAGGTACACAGTACACACATTCGCATTGGTTTTTAATTAAAAATCAACCATTGTTCTCGAATCTTTGACAAAAAGACATACTATAGTTTCATGAATATGTCATTAAATTATGTTGCAGGAGTTATCCCCAAGTATTTTAGCTTTGTGTGGTCGTTGGCTCAGTTCCGATTGGTTGAAGGCTCTCAGTTTATTGTTGCATTTGGTCATCAAAAGAACACAGTGGTGATTCTCGGCTTAGATGGAAGGTATTAAAGTTTCTTGACAGATTTATATTCATTCTGGAATGATGATTACTCAGTTTTTGATGGATTAAAATTGTTGTAATTGTGCAGTTTCTATAGATGCCAATTTGACCCAAAAGCTGGAGGGGAGATGACTCAACTGGAATATCACAACTTTGTGAAGCCTGATGACTCTTTCTAATTTTGCTTAACAACATATGAACATATGTCTTTTCATGGTATGTTTGTTGCTCTGTTACACTTTTGCTGATGCTTGTGAAGGAATGGGTATATATATAATTTTGTAAATGCCAATGTATATTTAATGTAAAAATTATCAACTTGCTAAATGATAACTTTTGAAGATGTTCGCAAAGAAATCAGAAACTGAAACTGTGGATCCCACACAATTAAGTCAAATTGATTTGTGTACAGAATCACCCCGACGATCCAGATTCCGAATCTTGGAATAATCTTATTCATTTATGAAGATGATTCAATGGATGATATTGGTGAGATTCCAATTATATTGGAATGGAATGACGAATTCCAATTCTGTTGGAATCACAGAAGTTGATGCTTGAAGAACATACCATATTATTCTTTTAGAATGTATTAGTCGTTGTTAGATTTTGATGTTTTCTTCCCCATTTTGATTGTTTTTTTAGTTTTATTCTTTAACAAGAAATGTAATTCTTAACAATTATCACTCGTATTCTATAAGAAATAATGTATTTTTTGTTTTTATTCTTCAATTGATTGTTCAAGATTTTGTTATTCTACAAGAAGTTGTTATTCTTCAAGAAGTTTTTAAAGTCATCATCAAGAAATAGGTTCAAGAATATTTTTATTATTTATGGTTCAAGAATATATTTTTTTGAATATACTCATAAACATATTCTGTCAGAATGTCCGAATTAAAAGAATTATAATTCGTAAAATCGGATTTTTAAAATTAATAGAATCTATGATCCCTTAAAAAATGCAATTTTTCCTTCATTAAATCTATATTAATTGACTAAATTACCCTTGTAATTAATTAAGATGATTTTTTCAATTATATTTAATTCAATAATATATATTAATCATTTTCTTAAAATAAATAAATTTGATTGGCCCACATTTATGCATACAATAACACAATAATTACTTTAAACAAAATAACCTAAGCCATATATATATATATATATATATATATATATATAGATATATATATATATATATATATATATAGATATATATAATATATATATATATATATATATATATATATATATGGGTTGTTAGAGGTTTCGCTATTTTCTATTTCCAAATCTAAATGTATTCGAATCATGATATATATTGTCATGTAATATAAAATGTACAACAAAAGCTTTTGTGGAAATAGTCGGTTCTCATCACAGAAGTTTTTCATATTTACATATTTTCCCTTTAATTGATTTTTATTTTAATAGTTTGCACCCCTTGCAATTTTACAATTAAATTATCAGTATTTTATATATTATGATTTTTGGTCTTTTACTATATTTTAAAGTTATATTTTGGCCTGTTATATAATTTTTTAGTAATCTTCTTTTATTAACTTCTTTAGGATACACATTCAACTCTTATTTTCGTCCGTCTCCTTCGTACATAATTGTTTGTATCGAAATTTTATTTTGATATTTTTTGTGTACATTTTATATGGTTTAATCATCTCTGTGGTATATGTGAGTTGTTAATTTTGTAAATTATATTCTAACTACAAATCAATTGCCCCGTGCATCAAAGTTAAGTATTTGTCCCCTACACAATTATTTTTATACATTTTGGCTTTATTATTTTTAAACGAGTTTTCCGCAGCAACGTGCGTGGTTACTCAAATACTTGTTTTTAATAAATATAAAAACTTCTTTAATGTAAAGAAGTTTGAACTTACAAAAATATCAATAACATAATTTCAATTAAATAGATTTTTATGTAAAGATAACTTGATTAATGTATAGAAGTTTGGACTTACAAAAACATAAAATATATAATTCTTAATTAACTAAAAATTAAATATGTGAACTTGAAATGGTAGAATTTAATGTATATAAAATATCAAATTTTAAAATATGAATACATAAAGTACAATTGAACTAAAATATATTTTTATAGGTGATATGTGATTTTTATACATAAAATATATTTTTACTACATTACAAAAATGGTCACTATAACTAATTGATATTGCATTTTGAATCAAAACTTTGAAAAATCAGGCACCAACCATTATTATGGTTTTATTTTCTTACATAATGGGTACATTATCTAGAGTACATTATCTACTGTTACTAATAAAATTCCTTTAAATTTTTTTACAATGAGCAATTTACTTTATTAAATTTACTTTTTTCATATTATCGATTTTATCTTTTTTATATTGTGATTTATTTGATTAAACAATAATACATTGTTGATGATTGCTTGTTGCGTAATGTTATTTACAAACTAACGAAACACAGTAGAAAGGAAGCAGGCTTGAGCATCTTCAAAAGTCAGATATATTTATTTGAATCAACAAAATTAACTAAAATTACAACCATATAATGTTTCAACAGAACGTACCCTAGTTGAAATCGTGAAAGCCGTCATATGGAAAATTGTTACAAAAACCTTGATCAGGTTTATTGACATCCACGTGAGTGAAGACCACATATGCTAATCCTTTTAATCAACGCAAAACTAGCTTCTCCTTTCTCCTTGGGCACTAATCCCTTAATTAACTTTTCATATATACTAGTGTCAAATTATTGAGCTTTTTAATTCCTTTCAAGCCATCTGACTTGCTAAACACGAGCCCAAATTAAATATGTGAATCACATTTGTCATCTCCCTCCTCTAATAAACAAAACCCATTTTGGCAAATGTCCCTATTCTAAATTGCCACTTTCCTCTAATAAACAAAACCCATTTTGGCAAATGTCCCTATTCTAAATTGCCACTTTGCCACGTGTCATGTTATACAACATCCCTATATTTCCCAAAAATAAAAATTAAAATTAACATAAATTAATTCAACAATTAATCAGGATTGCACATTTCAAATTCAAAAATCCATATACTTCCGAATTATATATATTATATCAAATACAAAATCTCTATACTTCCGATTGAATGGTTCAATGTTTCAATTTCAAATTCCTATTTATTTTTTGAATCCTTTTAAAGATTTTAAAGATCCCAAAAAATCAGCATTTTTAATTCAAATTTTAAGATTATACATATCGAAAGCTCGAATAATACGTCTTTCACTTGCATTCCAATTCCAATTGTCGACTTTCATTGTGCTTTCTTCTTCAGCATTAAGTTTTCTGCAGAAGATACATCATAAAAGAAATCCGGTTAGTTCATCTTCATATGTTCGTAAACCAACAATTCTAATCTTTTTCTGAAAATACTTTAATACAATTCTACTTTCAGTTCTTATTTCTTTCTTCAGATGCATCCTACTTTACTCATCTATGTCTGGTTCGATTTCTCCATATATGTTTTGATTCACTGATTTCATATAAATTTTGATGTGTTTATTTTGTTTTCTTATTTTTTTATGTATTATGATATGTAATAATGTCGTAAGAAACATTCCAATTATTTTTTGCAAAGTTTATAATTGCATACCAGATTAAGTTTGGTCCATTTTGATATATAGGCCCTGGACTATATTAACATAAAATTTAGGTCCCTTGGCTTTCACTTGAACAATACATTTTTAAATGTAATTAATTAAGAAATATGATATTATTTCCAATATATATATATATATATATATATATATATATATATATATATATATATATATATATATATATATATATATATATATCAATTTTCAAATGTATAATCCAATGTAATTTTATTTGAATGTGATCATTTAACTCTCGATATATGATTATAACATCTTTACAAAGAAATATCGACCAGAAAAATGGGTTATGTAATGGTACTAGACTTCAGGTGGTATCATTGGGTAATCGTGTCATAGAAATAGTGGTCTTAACTGGAAATAATATTAGACATTGAGTTTTTATTTCAAGGTTGTCTTTAACACCTTCAGACAACAAAATTCCATATTTGTTCAAAAGGAGACAACAAAATTATATTTTTTACTTATCAAATAAAGTTGTACTTATTACCATCCAGAATCAAATGCTTTTTTACAAATATTAATTTTTTTGGTGTATAATTTTTTTTAACTTACCTCCCGTGGTTTCCACGGGTTATAACCTAGTTTATATTAAACACGAGCCCAAATTAAATATGTGAATCACATTTGTCATCTAAATTAAAATACTTGTTCGATGTACATAAATTCAATATTTGTAATCCAAACCCAAACCCCACGCCCACCCCCACCCTCACCCCCACTCTATAACCAGACAAAAAACTTAAATCCTAAATCTAAAAACTGAAAATCACAAATCTAAACACAGAAAAGTTATAAATCTCTTTCTTCTAGGATTTAATAATTAGTCTAAGGAAGGCGATATCAACAATATGTATATTAACATATGGCTCTATCATCACCAAAACCAAAACTACTTAGGTCACTATTTACACCTTATTGTTAGTATATATACGATATAGGACCCCTTTTGTAATATATATATATATATATATATATATATATATATATATATATACACACACACACATACGCCCCTAATCAAGGAGGCTTTTACCATAATTAACATAATGTCGAGTTACGAATTCGAACCTCTTATCTATGCAACGTACGACTTTCTAGATCCGATTTTTTTCCCACCTAAATATCACGTAAGCTTGTTGCATCGATTTTCATCCAGGTGATTGTACGCTGCCTCATGTCGTGATCGATTTTCATCATCATCGATTTTTCCCACCTAAATATCACACAAGCTTCCCACCTAGTTTTCACTCTTACAAACTTGTATAACCAATTTTCTTTCAATCCTAATGTGATGGGTCAAAGTATAAATTATGGAGACAAATTTTCTCAAATATACGTCGAGGTACATTGAGTTATGGGCACATATCAGGAAAATCTATCCCTTCCGGGGATGATGATGAAGAGTGGTATTCTGTTGACGCACGTGTTAAAGCTTGGTTCTATAGTACATGTGATACTAGTTTGCTTCAAATAATCTCTAGCGCTGATTGTACTGCTAAAGATATATGGGATAAGTCGGAAGAATTTTTTTC